ATACCGAGGGGAAATTTAACTGACCTGTCTGCAAGTTGCAGAGATATCCTTGTAGGCTTTAGCTCACCCATTTGAAGCTTTTCGCAGATGGAGAGCGGCATAAGGCTTACACTTGCACCAAGATCGCATAGCGCTCTATTGATCTCTATATCTCCGAGCTTCACTGGGATTGAATAGCTGCCTGGATCACCTAGTTTCTTAGGAAGAGTGTTTTGCAGAATGGCACTACATTCTGCAGTTAGAGAAACAGTAGCATTCTCTGCAAGCTTCTTCTTGTTAGATAGCATGTCTTTCAAAAACTTTGCATAAGAAGGCATTTCAGAAATTGCATCCAAGAACGGTATATTAATGTGAAGTTTCTTAAGGATGTCTAGAAATTTACCGTACTTTTTCTCTAACTTAGCCTGGGCTAACCTCTGTGGGAAAGGGACTCTTGGCATGTATGGGGCGAGAGGTGGGATCGGTTCCCGTGGCTTTTCTTGAACATCATTCCTTGGAATTAGGCTGTCTGGATCTCCCGCCCGGTCGGGCAGTGATTGCCCGGTCTGACCGGGCGAAGAAGAGCTGCTTATGTTCTTCTGTTTGTCTGGAATTTCTTCTTGCGCCCGATCGGGCGGACCTTGCCCGGTCTGACCGGGCGAAGAAGAAATTCGCACAGTCCCCTGTTTTTCGTCGACTGCTTCTCGCGCCCGATCGGGCGGACATTGCCCGGTCTGACCGGGCGAAGAAGAATTTTGCAAAATCCCCTGTTTTTCACTCATTCCCTCAATATCTATCGTTGATGGTTCCCTTACGGGAAGGTCTTCCAACTGTTTTCCACTCCTTAAAATTACAGCATTCATGTGCCCCTTTTGTGGTTGCTCTGTTTGGCCAGGAAACGTACCTGGTGTTTTTGAAGATTGGCCGACTTGATGAGCAAGTTGGCTTATTTGATTTTCCATGAGCTTATTCTGGGCTTGTAACTGTTGGATGGAATTATTTGTGGTGTTGATGAAGTTCTCCATCATTAGTTCGAGATTGGATTTTTGAGGGAGTGGTTGCATAGGTTGCATGGGTTGTTGTACTAGGGGTGGTCTTGGTTGAAAACCAGGTGGATTATAATTGTTGTTTCGAGGTGGGGGCGGAGGTGGATTTTGCTGAGCCTGGGTGTTTTTGTATGAGAAATTTGGGTGATTCTTCCAACCTTCATTATAAGTATTAGAATGGGGATCGTATGGTCTTTTAGGGTTGGAATTGTAGAAGGCATTGGCTTCCTCAATTGATACCTCATTCGAATTTCGTGGGCAATTAGGTGCGATGTGACCTTGAGTATTACACATTTGACAAGTTTCTAGCACATTATTAGAAGATCCAGTTTGTAATCTATCGAACTTGCTTGAAAGTGCCTGCACAGAACTAGTTAAAAGAGTTAGAGCATCAACATCTAATTTACCTCCTTTCTTGACACTATTTCGGCCGCCTGGGTGATAGTTGTCATTGGCTGACATCTTCTCAACCAGCTCCTTTGCTTCGGTTGGATTTTTAGTTAAAAGGGAGCCTCCAGATGCGGCGTCGATATAGATCCGGAATTCATGGGTTAGACCGTTATAAAAGGTTTGGATTAACATCCATTCAGGTATGCCATGATGAGGGCACTGTCTCTGTAATCTCTTGAATCTCCTCCATGCGTCATATAAGGATTCTTCATCTGATTGCCTGAAAGTGGATAGCTCGTTCCTTAATCTTGCAGTCTTTTCTTGTCCCAAGAACTTGACCAGAAAAGCTTTTACTAGTTTATCCCATGTATCAAAGGAACCAGAACCCTCATCTCTTAACCATTCCTTCGCCCTATCCCGTAATGAGAATGGAAAAAGGCGAAGTCTAAGAGCATCATCTGTAACACCATTCAGCTTCATAGTGTCACACTTTTCCAAGAAACCATCTATATGATTCACTGGGCAATCAAGAGGTGTGCCAGCAAATGAATCATTGGATATGAATTGAATAAACTGCGGTTTCAATTCAAAATTCTGAGCGGTGATAGGTGGTCTAACAATGCTAGAAAGGAGTCCGGTTGTTGTGTCAGGGATACCGTACTCCAAAAGAGACTTTGTTGCTTGGTCTTCCATATTTCTGTTACCTGCTCTTCTTCTACTTCTTCGTCTTCTTGCAGTCGCTTCAATTTCTGAATCGAGAGGCACTAAGTCGTCTGACCTTGAGCGACGTGTTTGCATACAACAAAGAACTAGGCAAAGAACATCAAAAACACAGGAGGCAATAGCCGAAGCAACAAACAACGCTTAGTAAAAACGAATCACGGAAAATCAATATGAAACCGTTAGTCCCCGGCAACGGCGCCAAAATTTGATAGGCTTATCGCGTACCTAACAAAAATAACCTAACTATTCCTTCTAACTGTGTAGTAGGGCAAGTAAGGATCGAATCCCAAGAGACTATGGTTCATTCAATTAATCAGACTCAATTAATCACTAAGCACGTCACCAATCAATAATGGATGATAATAATCAACTAATATATTAAATAACACAATTAACTAGAGGAAATATTAATCAATAAACTAAAGCATCCAAGATCAAGCATTACCACGATTATGATTGATAAACTAATAAATCTACCCCCAATATATAAATCAATTGACAAGAAGAAAAGCAATCCCTAATAATAATACCAAAGGTCTCTTCCAAGTTATCAATGGCTTCCCAAATTAACTATCAAGCCTACTTCCGTGGAATCAAGCGAATAAGGGACATTAAACACCATGCCTAGATTCCTAATTATTCAATCATCTACTTCCGTGATGATCTTCAAACCCTTAATTGGAATAACCTAATCCCGTTAATACCCAACTTCCGTTGCAATAAGAACAAAGGGATGATAACAATACTAATTATTCCTAATCTAGTATTGGCATAAACACAATCAATTAAGCATGTCAATTGGGATTATTATTGGGGAATTTAAAGATCTACTTTATACATCAATCATAATCGGGCTTAGCAAGATCCCGGATTAAGGAAACTACTCACACATCATAATAAAATCAAAATCAAGTTCAAAAACAAGAAACAGTAAAGAAAACATATTTAGAGAACAGCGAATATCAGAAAAGAGTGAAGTAAGATAAATACCAATTACTCCAATTGAAAGAACTCAAATTGTTGATGAACAATTGATTAATCTGGGATTAAAAGATTGAAATTGCTTAAAGGAAATAAAACTAGGGTTCTTGAGAGTTTTCTAGGGCTTAAGGAGAAAAACTAATGAAAAACTCTCTTTAAAAGTTAATTACAAAAGGGTATTTATACCCCCAAAAGATAGAAATTCGGAAATAGCTGAAATCGCGCAATCTTGAACATCGCCCGGTCAGACCGGGCAGATCTCGCCCGATCGGGCGGAGGAAGGCTGCGTAAAATACGACAGTTTTCCTTCTTTGCCCGGTCAGACCGGGCGAACCTCGCCCGGTCGGGCGCGCGTAACACGTTTCCAGAATTGCATCTTCATAACTTGACTTCTTCATCGCCCGGTCTGACCGGGCGAAGCCTGCCCGATCGGGCGCGCGTTGCACCGTTCAGAATTGGGCTTCTTCCTGTGAACTCTTCATTGCCCGGTCTGCCCGGGCAAGCCATGCCCGGTCGGGCACTCCACATAAATTGCAGTTCTTGGCTATCAACTCTTCCGAATCTACTAAAAACACGTCCAATTGCCTAGAAACGCTTCATATTCCTGAAAAGCTTACTAAAACAATCGAATACACTAAAGAAGAGATTGTTAGCAAGAAATGGCTCCGTAGAGCTCAAAACCATATAAAATTACTAAGTAAAACCGGGGAAAACCATTGTATAAAACACGTATATCAGTTCTTCCGCCATGAGAATAGTAGCAACCTCTAAAGCTTCGGATGGAGAAATGACATCTAACTTCATCACCTCGTCCAATACCTTGTTCACCTTTTCATCCATCCTCTGATCCCTTTCTTCCGCTTTAGACCATGCACTAGCCATAGTCCTGAGATTAACATTGATATTTCAAATATCTTCCCAAAATTGTTGGAAATATCATGGAGGGAGGCCACCAAATCATCATCATCATTCCTACACAAACTCTTCGCATTTACCTTGTTCTTTCCTTTCACCTTAGTCTCCTTCGCCTTTATAGAGCGTTTTCCGGATTGAGTAGTAGAATCACTTGCGGAAAAATGAATTGTAGAAGCCTTCACTTTTGCCATTTTTGAAGGAGTTATATGATCATCCTCTATCTTCATGAGGCGTTTTCCGGATTGACTTGTAGAAGAATAAGTGTCCGAATGAGTAGAATTCACATCATCTTCTTCATCACTCTCGACATTGAATGGTTGCTTATCAATCTCTTGATCCATTTCTTCTATAGCATCAACAAACGACTCACTTGCATCTCCGGTAGCTTTGTCTTTTGCGATATCTCCGCAAGAGTTTCATAGTGAATGAATGGAACTCCAAACAACCCTTTAGCTTTCTTATGAGTCTGCCATATAAGAGAATATAACAAGTCAAAACATGAAAATCAGAACTGAACCAGGCAACTGATAAACTTGCACAACTGATAAAAAAATTACAATATTATAAGTAAAATCTCTACAGAGACAAACTAGCCATACGAAATTTCAGGCTTTTGCATGACAAATCCAAATGTCAATATCAGCAGATCAATCCTTTTCATATTTGTACACTACATTAACAATAAAATAGGTTCCATAAGTCATAAGATAAGACTAGTATCATAGCATGAGACATTCACAAAGCTGAAGTACAAGAATCTAACTAGCATATGCTGAAGTTCAATGCTCTTTCTGCTGCTATCAAGCAGCATATTATGACAGAATCAGAAACTTAATTGACAACCAGATTAATGCAGAAGCAGTGGTAGTGAGTTAACAACAATTACAGAAGACCAAAAAGGGTGCAGACTACATATGAACTCAGGTCATATGAACTGTCCAGCAGCAGTTCTACAGATTGGCCTTTTATAGCATTACAATCTTCAGAAGAAGAAAAAAATGAACAAAGAGGAATGAATAGCAGTTCGTACCTTCACCCATTCATCGTACATGGCCTTGTCTACTTGCAACAATTTCTTTTCAGCATCCCATCCAAATCCTGAGGTGGATAGCATTTCTGCAAATGCACTATATTTCTCCGACCAATGCTTGATCCTCGACTCAATGTGGGAACCGCTCTCAAGCCACAATTAGGAAGTACACCATTGATCATCTCTTCAAACTTATTCATGTAACCATTCTTAAACCCATTCTCACACTTCCACTTCGGATCGCAACTCAACTCATGCAAATATCTTATTAGAACCGCATCTTCTTCATATGTCCAATACCTTTTATTTTTACCTCTTCCTCGATTGCTTGCCTAACCCTTAGCTTGACTAGCCTCCATGTGAAAAAATTGTAGATTAAAAGGCATAATAAAACTTAATAGAACAAATTACAAGGCAGATTATAATATAACTGACATAACAGATTACAAGGCATATTAGACATAACTAAAATTGAAAAGATTAGAAGGCATGTTAGTTAGAAATGAACAAAATAGATTACAAGGCTAAAGAGAATGAACATAACAGAATGTACTCGAAGGAAAAAAAAAAAAAAAAGAAAATCATAAATTTTGTGCTATTGACCATGTCTACCTCTCGCCCTCCAATCATTAAACATATCTTGGGCTAATTCGTTTCTAAAATTGGTCCAATGATCCGAAGTAGCAACACTTGTAATAAATTCCCTTTCATCATTGAAATCACTTTCGGAATCATCATCGGATTCATTCAATTCATCTTCGTTTATGTCATCCGTAGGCATGAATTTTCTAATTAGATTATGCAATAAGCAACAAGCCATTACGATACGTCCGTGAGTTCTTATTGGGAAAAATGAAGGACTTCTAAGAATACTCCATCTTCCTTTAAGTAGGCCGAAACATCTCTCAATCACATTCCGCGCCCTAGCATGTTTCATGTTATAAAACTCCTCGGCACTATCGGGTTGTTGATCCGTCCATTCCTTTAAATGGTATCTTTGACCTCTATATGGAGCAAGAAAGCCCTCACAATTCGTATATCCCGCATCAACCAAATAATAATTACCTTCAAAGTTATTAAAGAAAAGGATTATCAAAACTAACAAAACTTATACACTCACAAAAGGATGAGCTTCACTTACCTCGAGGTACCCTAAAACCGTTTGGTCTAGAGAGAGCATTGCGAAGTACACGCATATCATTGGCCGAACCTTCCCAACCAGGAAGAACATAAATAAATTGCATATTGGGTGCACAAACACCCAATACATTCATAGCAATTGTTCCTTTTCTTGTTCTATACTTTGGTCGTTCTTATGAAGGCACATTTACATTAATGTAAGTCCCATCTAATTCCCCTAAACAATTCTACAAAAATAGGAAAAATATTACTTACAAACAAGCAAAAATAAGAAAATCCTAGCAAAATTTAGGGGCTTAGAAAAAATCAATACCTTGAAAGATTTCCACCTTTCATCTTCACAATCATCCGATATTGGTGTGGGATTGTAAAGTAGTACTTCATGCAACTTGAGAAAAGCCCTTAGACAACGGTGAAATTGTCGGCTCACGGTTTCTCCAATTCTAAAGAAGTATTATCCAATAGACCTATTCTTCTTATGGTGAGCCAACGTGTATAAAAACATGGCTACTATCTCTTGAAGCGACATGTTTTTTGTTCCACTCAAACCCCTAATGTCTCTAAGCATCTCACAAATAATATTGAAAGTTTTTCTATTAACGCGAAGCTCACTCTTGCATGTCACATCACTCTCCCTATAAAGCCCTCTCAATACTAACATTCGTAACAAATTTTTGTTTCTTTTCCTTTCTTTTAATTGAACACCCCTTATTGTAACAACACACATCATATGCCACATCCAATACATCATCAAAATAATAATAACCATTGAAATAACTAGTTATATTTGTTTAAGCTTTTTCTTCCTTATGGAACGCATAAGTCGAGGCATTGTAGAAACCTTGAAAAATCAGTCCAAAAAACTGTACAATAGTATTAATATACACTTTCACAAACAACATCATTAACTAGCAAATAATTTCTAAAAAAAAAACCCTATATGATGATAACACAAGCACTAGCAAAATTCAGAGTATCCTTCTGGAACAGAGTATGTGTAGGGTTTCGTAGTGACCCGACACTACGCGGAAAGAAACCCACCAAGACCCGCCCCTTAATTAAAGCAATTAAACAAGCATAATAAACTTAATCAAACAAGATTAAGGACAAGAATTATACCTTTGACGCGTGCTTCGCTCCTAAAGAGCTCTTACTTCAAAATCCCGAAAAGACGAGATCTCCGACGGATCGTACCCTCGACCCGACCCGAGCGTCCTAAGTCTTGAAGGTTAGTCAAGACCCGGACAAAATTAACTATGAGTTTTACGAATCAAAGGTTTACTCTTTTCTAGAGTTGCCTTTTTAATTCCACTCAAGGTTGTTTCAAATCCCAATACCAAGCTTGGTATTTATAGGGAAATGATCCCTTGATTTCTAATCTCCCATCAATGTGGGTGAGTTGGTAAAATGACAATTATTTAATTCCAAAATTAAATAATTAATCAACTCAATCACAAATCGACACATGGCACAAATGTAGAGAAAGCCAAGTGAGGACCAAGGCTTGGGGGGACCATTGCCTTGATCCCCAAGGCCATGTATTGGTCCCCACACACCATGCCCAAAACCGGGTCAAGGTGTGCTAGCTGGCTGCCAGCTAACGTGCCAGCTGGGGCTGCCAGCTAGCGTGCCTTGCTGCCCAGCACCCAGCCAGCCAGCTAGTGCACGCTGCTGCTGGGCTGTGCTGGTGCTACGTGCTGGCGTTGGGCGCTGCTAGCACCTAGTGCTGGCATTACCCCCAGAAGGCCACGCACTCACTCGCATACTCTTCGCGCCTCATTGCTAGCACAGCCAGCATGCGTGCTGCTAGCGAGCCACGCATGCTGGCCACACTGTCCCTTGCACCATTCGCATACCCCATCGCACACACGCACTGACACGATGCCTACGCTAGCACTAACCAGTGCCTAGCACTGCTTGTGCTTGATGCGAGGCATGCGCACACGCACACGCACTCGCATGCGTGGCGCTGCTGCCTAGCACCCAGCCAGGCATTGCACGTACACGCACCAGCCAGGCGCCACGCACCATGCACTGCCTGCCCCACACGCATCAATGCGCCTGTGATGCGAGGCTAGTGTGCGAGGCTGCGAGTGCCAGGCCTAGCATTGAGCTGGCGCGCAGCCCCTTGCATGTGCTGCAATGCTTAGTGCTGCCATGCGAAGGCTAGCACTCAAGCACACGCACATGGCGCGCCATTGCCAGGCAGCCAACCATGCCAGCACTTGGTGCTTGCGATGGTGCTGCCAGGCCAGGCACGCACGCACGCAACACCTAATGCTTGCGATGGTGCGCCTGGTGCTGCCATGGCCTGTGATAGGTGCCATATGCACCCAGGCACCACGCTAGCATGCTTGCTAGCTGCTATGGGCTGCCTGGTGCCTGTGTGGCCTGCGATGGCTGCCATGCGCACCTAGGCACCCATGCTAGCTTGCGATGGGCTGCCAGGGTGCGCCTAGGCTGCGATGGTGCCTAGCACACCATGGTGCGCCTAGCACACACATGGTGCACCTAGGTTTGCGATGAGCTAGCCTAGCCTAGCTATTATTGATCGGAAGCGGCCTCCACCTAGGCATTCCGATCACTTGACCTTACTGAAGAATTACCTCTGTAATAATTCTGAACCCTCTATCGGAATAATACACTTGTTGGAAGGACACCATTCCTTTCAGTATGTATCTAGTTCACTACTCTAATGTTAGTATTATACACATTATCGCCTATTTTAGCAAAATTCAGCTTCCATTCAAGTTCAAAAGCTGAAAAATCAACTACTAGTACATTTTTCACCAACGTCTCAATAAACCAAGCTAAACTTCAAATAATAGAAAACAAGATAAAATAAAAAACCTATGATGGCAAACGATTAAATTAGGGATAGGAACAATGCCCGACTACAGCGAGCCCACTCGAATTGAGGGGGTGGCTTTTAGTACTACTACATCAATACCATCAAATTGGGGAGAAACACAAAAATAGCCAACAATTACATGCAATAATAGCAATACATACCATCAAATTCAGCAGAATATCAACAAAAGAGATAAGGAAACTTAAATTAAACAAGCAAGTAAAGAATTCAAATCAGAAAGCGAAATTGATATCGTATAAACCCTAGAAATTGAACAAGAGAAAGTGAAGAATATACCGTACTTGAGATTATAGAATTCTGTAGATTTTAGGTAGAAAACTGAAAATTTTGAAGCGAAATCAGGAGAATAGCAGTTTTCTTGGGAGAATTTTCAGAAAAATTGTGGATCAAAGTTGGGAATTTTGTTGAACGAGAGGAGAGAGAAAAGTTATTTCCCTTATTTTACTCTGGAAACGTTATTTGTTTCCCCATGTTTTACTGTGGAAACAAAATAATGGAAACGATTAGAGCCAGGAAACGATTTTTGTTTCTTTAGCCATTAAACAAACACATTGTAAGGGAAACGGTAATTGATTCCGTTTCCAACTCTACCAAAACCCATACCAAACACCCCCTGGTTAAAGTTACTATAAAAAAATAGTTAAAGTTACCATTAAACTGACTGTCATATAATAAAATTCTTGTACGCTCACCTAACATAAGACTTATTGTATTTTGAAACATTCATGAACATTACAAAAAAATATGATTAATACATTTATAGCTCAGCTTGTGCAAAAGCTATAAAATGGGAAAAGGCTACACATACAATGGTTGTATGTGAGGTCCACATACAACATGACTTAGCAGTTGTGATAGGGCAAAATAAAGGGGCCTATTTTCCACCAAAATTCAATTTTCATTTGAATTTCAAATTTCAACTAAAAATTTAAAACTTTAAAATTTTAAATTTAAATCTAATTGTCATTCTCCATGCACATTTACATTAGAATTTTTCTCTTTTTATACAAAAAAAAGTTAAAATAAATAAATTTATTCATCTTTCTCATTTTTATTTTGTTGTTCATCATTCTCCATTAACGAAGCTTTGAAGGTGGAGTTGGGTTTTATTTTTAGAATTTATACTAGGTTAGAACCCGTGCGATGCACGGTTTATATAAAATCTATATTTATAATTTGTACGTTTAAAGAAAATTGAATAAATATAAATAAGAATTATGCACCTTGTACAAAAATATTTGTAATTTTAAAATTTAGATTTTCATCAAAATTATGACATAATATTTGTTCAACGTCGCCTAATACATATTTCAATGTAGGAGTCCATTTATTAGTGTGCTATTTACAATTATTTCATTTATTTTAGGATAAATTGATAGGATGTAGTGGTAATGTAGAATCTTTTAATATTCAAATTTCAAAATTATTTAATATGGTAGCTCCACAAAAAATAAAAAAATAAAAAAAAAAAAATAAAGATGACATCATCCTTGCATTTAGGCGGGAAAATTTTTATAAGAGTGACATGTAGACAGTGATAATGTCAGCAACGTTTTGTTTTAGTAATAGTTAATAGATTTTTGCAGATACTCAACTCATCCTCCATGTTAACTTTGTCTAATCAACCATTACACATCATTTTTTTTTTTAAAAAAAAATTCCTAAATTACTAATTTTTATATTTTCCAAATTTTATTATTCCAAATAAATAGATTAATAAGGTAAAGAACTTGTGTATTTTTATTCTTGCCCCATTTTTGTGTCCTACATTAAAGTTTATTTCGGTGTTTTATTCTTATTTTCTATAATATTGATCTTCTCCTTCATCATGTATTTTTGTCGTCCATTAAAACTCAAGTTGATTTTGAATTTATATCACCACTATTGTATAAAACTTCTTTAAATTATGTTATAAAAAAGCTAAACACGACTTCTTAATCTTAGCCGCATTACCATCCATATTTCCCACAAAGTGGTTGCGTCCAAGATTTTAGCCAATGACTCTAAGTAGTAGATTTGTTAAATGCCATTAAATAATGACAATAAAAGCAACATTTCCATCTAATTGAGATGTAGGATTTACAAATCGATGCTTTTTATTTTTATTTTCCAGAAGATTGAAATATAAAATCTTTATATATATATATATATATATATATATATATATATATATATATATATATATATATATATATATAGTGGAGTTTTTTTCCAAGTTTTTATAGAGCCATGTAGGTTTATAAATGTTAGATGTAGCCAATGAAATAAGTGATTTGTAAATTATTTTAGAATTAAATAATTCAAATGTCACGTAAGCAAAATTGGCGAATGAGATTTTAAAGTTAAACTAATTAAATATAAATTATTATGTTTTTAAATTAGCAATTTTATCTGAATATATAACGAAGGGAAGGAAATTAACAATTTGGTTTAAACTAAAAATATTTATTGATATTTTACGTGCAACGAATAAATTTTTTTTTTAAAAATAAAAATAAATCGTGCATTGCACGGGCTTCATCTAGTATTATTATTATATACGAGAAATTCAGGGGTATAAGTAATGGCTTTCATATTATCTTAATTGATAATATAGGAGATTCAACGGACATCAGTAGTGGCTGAAATATAATTTTAGACATAAGAACGTCAAAAACGGAAGAAAATCCCCCAAAAATATTGAACACTGTAATTTGTAAATTATTTGGTAACATAAACTGTTAATTTTGTAAATAGAACATCATTTCAACAATAATATATTTCTTTCGCAAAGAGTTCACATGGTGTGCATCCCGCAATCATAATTATTTACCTTGCTCATAGATTGATTTTTATACTGTCACTTTGTTCTCGAGATCCAATCATATCTTTAAATATGAATTTTTATTTTTTCCACATACACTGGTAATGAAAGAACAAAAATAGTATCCGAAATTATATATCTTATGTGTGTTTGTGAAATATAACTCCATAAAATAACATTTTTCTAGTAACAAAAATATGATTAAGGAAATAAACTAAGTTGTAAATAAATGAGAGAATTTTGCAATAAGTGACAATCATAATAATTGAGTGTAACCCTCCATGCATGATTTGATTTTAACTCTCTATTATTTGAATGAAACCATTTAATGTAAGAATTAAATTGTACAACCCTTTATTCTAACTCCCA